TGATTACTGTGTGTGCAGTTTAAACAATTGTACTTGTGCGGTTTCAAAGCAGCATGATCGCAGCTGTAGTGGGGCGTAAAGTCTGGGCCTCAGTTGGGCTGAGGAAGCATTAACATGTCAGGTAGGAGGTTTAAAAACATGGAGTTCAGAGGCGCGGGGGGAGGGGAAGGGGGTCGACTATGAGACAGCGGTCCGAGGTAGTGAACTGTGGGGTCCAATGGGCCTTTTGTGCACGCTCCCCGCCCCCCACAGCCTTAGCTGCAGGCTGCAGGACACATGTCAGCCACTCGCGACAGCACGGCAGCACCAGCAGCCTTAGTGACAGCGCAGCAATCGCGCAGCAATCGCACGGGCGCTCAGTAAATACTCCCGGCGCGTTACCCGGTACACACCAATCGCTCCCTTGGGATCGAGCGCGCAGGCAGCTTGCGCGTGTCAGCACCAAAGGGAAGTTGGAGGACCGGCTTGCGGATGGTGGCGGGGTCTCCGTAGCAGTTGAAGGCGACAGACCAAGGTGGCGCTGTTCTTATCCGCCCGTATCCTGCTCCTGCAGCTCAGTCTCTGGGGGTCTCATGAATCAAGTGCAGGCGTTTCCCAAACCCCTGCGCCCTGGGACTGGGGGCCTGCAACTGGGTGGAAGGCCATTAAAGGAGGCCCACGGCCACCAGCGGGCTGTGGACTCACCCCAGGCCCTGGCAGCCGAGAGCGTCACTGCTGAGCATGGCCCTTGTGCAGTTACAGAGGCTGCTGTGGGGACTGAGAACAGCCCCCGCGGAGGAGGAAGAGAGAGAAGCGATCTTTTTAGACCTTTTCGCTTATATTCCGGGGAGAGACTGCAGCCCGCTGTTTAATGTCCACAAAATCATCCCATCCCAGTGTATTCAGGACTTTGCTCTGCCTCCCACTTGTGGGAGGGGTCGACACTATCCCTGCCCCCACCCACGTGGGCGGCCTTGAGATTCGCGTGGATCCAAGGATCCAGCAATGGGGATGATGGACAGGCTGTGGGCTGTGCCCTCCTGGAAGGCAGCTCTGTGACCCCGTTGGGAGAACGACATGCTCACAGGCCTCCTAAGGACCAGGGAGGTGGACTGCAGCCCTGGAGAGAGGCGAGAGTCCGTCCCTGGGAAAACCAGGTCGCCTCCCCCTGCACACCCTCCCCCATCCCTGGAACCCAGATGCCTTGGGCTCAGCTTCAGGGTGGTTTCTTACATAGCAATGGTTAAGGGAGAAGGGCTGAGGAATGTAGCTGACCCTTCCTTTTTTTCCTCTTTTTTAAAAAGTTTTCAGAAAATCTAAGGTCAGAAGTAGGAGTGACCCAAAGAGATCATTTTATTTGTTTCAATCATAGATAACATTAACCATTGGAAAGTCACCAAACATTATTCCTGGTTCTCAACTTTGATGTTTACCTTACTTTAATTAAGGGTGGAAAAAAACTTTACTCATTTTATCTGAAAAAGAAATACCAAAAGCTAAATTTAATTATTATTCTAATGCAACTCACACTGAATTATAAATATAATGGTTAAGGGTTAAATAACCTTTGGAATGTTTTCCCTGGAAAACCAATAGTTCTTGCAAAAACAGGCACAGGGATATTTTTTCCCCTAAACATTCTCAGTAGAAGAGAACAACTCTGATGAAATTATCCTCAAACCTTTAATTAAAGCCAGATGCTAAGGGAAAGTTCGAGTTCCTGAATTTTATTTACTAATCCACAAAGAGAAAAGCATCTGAAAAAAATATCCTTCTGTTCTTATTCGCACACTTCACAACAGGGCTCATTCATTGTTATTTATGTGTTTACAGGTGTCTGCAACACCCACACCGCATTGAGCAAACATATCTCTACCTAAATTCAGCAGTACACCTGCTTCCCCAGAGAGTACGGTGGTATGGAACTCTGCCCCGTTTACCTGCTTATCAAAATCCCAGCAAGCATTTCATGAGGCCTTGGAGGTTTGAGACACCCCAACGTTTCTATTAGAAAGTTTTCCCAAGGTGTCCCTGGTGAGGCCGGGAAGAAATGCGTGTGTATCTAGGTTCGCACATCCGAGCGCCCCCTGCGTGGAGGGCGTGCATTTGCAGCGGAGCGCTACCGAGTTGCCATGGCAGCCACCCACACTCACAGACTCACAGGGTGGCGGAGAAGAGAAAAGCAGTTAGCACGGAACAGAATCTATTGTTACAAAGACAGCAGTTCCGTCCATGTAATTACAGGCAGGAAGCCTGCCTCGTCGTCTCACCGCGGCCTAATGACAGACAGTTTCTGGGCGTTGGAGTGTTCCTGAGTGTTTCTTCTCTGAACACAGCTGTGAGCGGAACCTTGGGCTTTGACCTTTAGGGACACTGAGGTTGGGCGGGAGCAGGAAGGAATCCACTTGACCACGCACGTGCTGGGGCTGATTGATGTAATGAGCCCTTCTCTGGAACGTTCGAAATCACTGTGGCCAGGGCGATTTGTGATTCTATGGGTCTGGGTGTGGCAACAGGACCTACTTCAAGGAGCTGTTACAACTCATTGAGTTGGTACAAATAATAAATTATTATGAAAATAATAAAGCAAGAATAAATTTTAACAATTCATAAATAAGAAGCAGTACTATGTAAATTAGCAACAGGGCAGATGTACTGCCTGACACATAGTTAATGCTCAGTAAGTGTCACTATGATTTGTTATTACAAACATCTCCAAGTCTGGATGACAGACTAGAATGGTGTGGTTTATAAAGGGGATGTTCCTCAAATAAGTGCCAGCAAGTAAGCTGCCGGAACAAATGCTGGCAGACCAGAAGCAAGACAAGTTATTAAGCCCTGGCTGGTGTGGTTCAGTGGGTTGAGCTCCAGCCTGCAAACCACAGGGTCGCTGGTTGGATTCCCAGTCGGGGCACATGCCTGGGTTGTGGGCCAGGTCCCCAGTAGGGGGTGTGCAAGAGGCAGCCACACATGGATGTTTCTCTCTTTCTCCCTCCCCTGCCTGCTCTCTAAAAATAAATAAAATCTTTTTTTAAAAAGGGAAGATGTTAAGGTTTTTCCAGGGCAGAAAAGGCTGCCTCCCTCTCCCACAGCGATGCCTTTGAAAGCACCCTTTTGGCAGAATGAAAGGACCAGGCTTCCACGGCAGCGGCACACTCACCACCGCTGGCAAAGCTGGCCACACAGCGAGGTCTGTCACCTCCAGAGCTAAGGGAAGCATGTAACCATTCGAGAGGTGGAGAGTATTCGGGAGTCTGTCTCAAGCCATTGGCTCGATCCCATAGGTGTATGTAAATCCCTTTGCCATTCATACCCACACACGAATATGAACATTAGGGTGAGATGTGAGGACGATGAATGAAAAGCGTTTAGGGTTTTTGATTCCCTGAAGCTGTAAGTCTTCACTGGAGGACTGAGCGGTCCTTCCATTCCAGGGGAGGCAGAACACAGAGTCCAGCCGTGGAGTGGACAGGAGAGAGCCTGCCTGGACCCCAGGTTTCACGTGCAGTCTCACCGTGTAAAGCAGAGAGCAGAGCTGATGGCTGGAGAAACATTGGGGGCTGGAGGGACAGGGATGGGGGGGCACCCAAGACCAGAGCCTGCGGGAGAGAGGGTGGACCGGGAGGGGTTTGACCCTCCGATCTCTACAGATGTCCTTATTCTACTTGCATGTGGTCTTTTATTTTTTCAAGTTTATTCAACGCATTGGGGGACATTAATAGAACGTAGCGTTCAGGGGTGCAATTCTATAACACATCACGTGCAGATTGGGTTGTGTGTGCACCGCCCAAAGTCAAGTCTCTTTCCACCCCCATATATCTGGCCCCCTTTGCCCTCCTCGTCCCCCCTAGCCCCCATTTCTTGTGTTTTTTAAAAAGTCCAGGCAGTGAGGCATAGAATTAGTTTGGCTTAAAAACCGTTAGCATGTTAAAATGCACATACGTCTGACCTCTAAAGGTACCGGCGGTTATGAACGTGACATGCAATGCTACCTGCACCCTCCTAAGTGGTCCCCTGTTGAGGAATCTGGGCTCCCAGCCTCGGGCAGAGGGGTCACGGGTGTAACCTCTCTGCTCGGAGAGGTCGCCTGACGTGACGGCAGTGGGAACATCAGAAACATTCCCATCCTCCAACGGCTTTTGGAGGGCAAGAATAATTCATGAGAAATGCATCGAATTTGGTTTCAGATCAGTCCTGAGACCTCTTGTCCACAAGCGCAAAGCAGCAGGAAGGAGCTCGTGGCGCCGTCGGAGAGGAGAGCCCCCAAGACACCGAAATGCTCCGAACTTCGCACTGAGCTTTGGAAAGGCCCACAGAGCTCGTGTCAGGACGCGGCCCCAGAGCTTCAAGGCGGGCAGACCCTGGTGGCACAGGGACAGGCAGAAGACACCAATGCCGGGGTCGAGAGCTGCCTGCCAAGGCCCTCCTCCTCAGCCTGCAGACCAGCGAGGCACTTTCCTGCGACCCCCCACTTCTGCACGCGGGTGCTGAGACAACTGCCCTGGGGCCTCTCACTGACCTGATGGCAACTACTCAGGAGTCCAGGAAAAAACATGACACAGAAGGACATTTTGGTTAGGTCTACAAGAAAATATGACAACATGGCCACCGTATCATGATATAGTTACCAATCACAAGAGATCTTGCTAGGAAAACAGTGGCCCTTTCTCAGCCCCAGGCAGAGAATATCAGAGCATGCACAAGCAGCGCAGAGGCCTGGGTGAGTCTCCTAATGGTGCTATTACCAGTTTATGGGGGCTGCGTCCAGACAAATTTGTTCCCAGCCAGCCCTCCTTCATATTAAGACCAACATATTCTCAAATAGCAATGCTAACGGCTGTATTTTTTAATACAACCAACTACCCACACATAACCTCCTGAAAGTCAAGCGGCTTCATTGTATTCAAAGCACAAACAGCTATTATTCAGCCTAACTCGAACGGCCTACAGGAAGCGGCTAATGGGACTGCCACCCCCGGAGAGTGGCGGGCGGGCGAGGAGCAGCCGCAGGTGGGCCTTACCGTCAGGTACATGGCCGCGTAGACACTGAGGGCCGCCTCCTTGGAGGGGAAGGTCTTCCGGGCCCTGGTGATGAGGTCGGGGTTGCCAGTGCAGGCCTCTGCCCCGCTGATGAACTGCGTCAGCTGTTGGCAGCCCAGGGCCGTGTAGTTGGGCTTGCACAGGGCCAGGAAGTGCGGGGCCAGGTTCCCGGTCACCACCTGCCCTGCGTTCACGAAGATGTCGGTGGCAAACAGTCCGAAGGTGTAGATTCCTGGAAGAGAGCACACTGTTTGTTTGCACGCTCTGGTGTCTTGGACTTCAGTTCACGGTGAACCAATGGGGAAATATTCCGAGAACTGTGACACGGTCATTCCCCCCTCCCCGCCCCGTGCATGTAGGGCGCCTTTGTCCCATCCCTGTCTAGAGCCTGCCCTGGCTCTCCCGAGTGTGCTGGGGGTGTCTCATTATTCAGTGTGACCGGCTGTCTGCCACAGGCCACATGCCTATTTGTGGCAGGTATATAAGACTCGAGATAAAAGAAGATATATTCTAAGCCAGTGTTTGGGGAATGCAGTTTTTTAACTGGAGCCAGGTTCTCTCCAGAGGCATCAGTCTACCCCCTTCTGCTAATGTGGACAGTCTTTATTTTCCCCCATTTAAAAAATATTCTTTAATGCCACCGATGTACAGCAAAGCAGTGGCCTCCCTTCAATAGCGCCTCTCAAACCCGCTCGGGATGAAATTATCCCTGTGGCCGTGCCCAGGAGCAGGGAAGCCCAGTGCTGAGAGTCTTCATTCGAATATCACGCAAAACCTTGCCTTCAGAAACACGCTTTTAAATCCCAGCAAGCCCTGGCTGGTGTAGCTCAGTGGATTGAGCGCGGGCCTGCGAACCAGACAATCGCGGTTCGATTCCCAGTCAGGGCACATGTCTGGGTTGCAGACTGGTTCCCTGCAGGCCAGTTCCCAGCAGGGGGCGCATGAAAGGCAACCATACATTGATATTTCTCTCCCTCTCTCCTTCCCTTCCCCTCTAAAGATAAATAAAATAAAATACTTCTTTATAAAAAAAAAAAAAAAATCCCAGCAACTTCCTGCCACCGTATCTTCTATGAACTGTAATTTAAGTTATCCAATTTGGGGCAATTTAGTAAGCAATAGGGCAATCAAAATGATGTTTGCAGTGATCATCACAGTAAATTAAAATTTACTTTCTTTAGTTACCTAACAATACAAAGTGAAGTATGTGGATTTTCCCCCCTCCCTTTTCTAAGGAACTCACTAGTGTACTCAAACACAAAAAAACATTTTCTAAACGCAATGTCATTGCTCATTGCTGTCAAAACCTGCCTTTCTACTTAGGTAGGGTACATAAATTAAATTCTCTGTCACCCTTTTCAGTTAAACTCAGATATATAACCTTCAAAGATGTGGTAACCAATGTAAAGAAATCCATTCTTTCATAACTTGGGGAAACGCAATAACATTCATCAGGACATTTTAAAACTACACCAAAATAATACTTCCTAAGCAACTGGTTTATTAAAAAGTCATATGATTCTATTATAATAATTTAGAGGCTTTTCTTCTTAGTTGTATATTTCTGGCTTGCTTATTTCCTAAGTCTGTACATAATCACTGGCTATTGTGTAAGAAATCACCAGGAAAGTTGCTCAGGGTTCAATAATCTTCTGGTATCAGATGCATGGCCGTCCTTTTAACTTTCAAAATATCATTTAAGAGGATGGAATCCTCATGCACACAAACCAGTACATAGCAAACTTCTGAGAATAAAATGACAATGAAACAAAGACCCGAGTTCTCTCTTTATCTGAAAAGTGGAAACGGAAATAATTAAAGCCCTTTTTTTATATCTTACCAGCCTTCCATGAGTCACACAAGTGAATGTTAACAAAAGCAGACATTTAGAAGAGGCAGGAAAACGAAAGAGAAGAACGCCAATAAACCGTGTGTGTACACCGGATCTCCTCCTCCCAAACACCGTGGCCTCGGCCAGAACCTACGTGACGAGGCTCCACATGGAGGCCAAGATGTCCTCGTTCTCTTTAGCCAAATCTTTCTCTTAATCTGGTGTCACATGTTTTTCTGTTTACAGAGAGGTGCGGGCGTCCAGAACACGGAACCATGAGGAGCGGTGTCCAGCCACGCACTGTGTCCCGCCTATAAGCTTCCTGTTTTATGACGACACACTAGGAAACCATGTCACGGTGGCAAGAGAACAAGAAACAAAGGAAGTGCCCCTTGACAGTTCAAAAAGTCACGTAGGTAAGAAACACAGGGAGAATCGGAAACCCACAAAATGCGTGCCATGTCTCATTAGAAATACGGGTGCAGATGCAGGAAAAGCATTTTTACTGACCGAGCTATAATCTGGTTTAGCTGACAGAGTCTAGGAAAGTGTGGACTCCATCATTCTCAGTGTCAAGGGTACTACTGCTTCTTTTCTAATTAAACGACTCTTCTGCAATGATGAGCCAAGAATGCAGGGCTGTTGCACGTGAAAAAAAAACCTTTTCAAAGTTTCACATGAAAGTTCTCCTTTTAACCGCATCAACGATGGCTTTGGAGATATGTAATTGATGGCAAGAAAAAGAGCATTCTGAGATGAGAAGGCCTTTCATCTTCAGAGAGATTTAAAGGCACAGGACATTTGATTAGTCTTTAAGTGGGTTTATATACAGATTAGGCGATCTATGCACAAGAATGAAAAGTCTTCATCTTGATCCCACTAAGAAGGAGACATAGACTGAAGAGGGACGGTCTCCTGAATCTTAACGCTGATCAGAATTTATATTAAATACATATAAAGAGAAACATACTTCTATCTGCTAACTCCAGGAAATAATAATTTAATTAACTTTATTGTGCCCATTTAAAAAATTTGTCTTGGACAAGTTTCTGCTGAATTGAGATGATTTTCAATAATCCGTCGGTGTTCCCATGCACTAGTCCAAATCTGAGACCGAAAGGTGAAGTATCAGTGAATCCTGTCCTCGAATAAAATCACCACTACAGGCCCTGGCTGGCATAGTTCAGTGGATTGAGCTCGGGCCTTCGAACCACACGATCGCGGTTCAATTCCCAGTTCAGGGCACATGCCTGGGTTGCAGGCCACTTCCCAGCAGGGGACTATGAGAGGTAACCACACACTGATTTCTCCCCTTTTCTCCTTCCCTTCCTCTCTAAAGATAAATAAATAAAATCTTTTAAAAAATCACCGGTACATTCTGGTGGATTTAAAATAAAAAGACAAAAAAACAACTCAGAAGTTGTGTGTGGAGTACAACATACGGTGATTAACGATTCCTTCTCTCATTTGCCAAGCTATTTTCCCATGCTTCGTAATCTCCAACAAGCTAACAAGATTACAGCTTCTCCCCACCAACCCAGTAAATCATTTCTTTTAATTACCTTTTAAATTTTAATTGTCTTTAAAATTTCTAGTTTCTTAAAAAACATTTAACGTCCAAGTGTGGTGTTCTTTTTTCCCTAAAATGATGTGAGAATGGCAACTGAAATAGAATTTCACATCAGTTGGAGAAATTAGTATGCCATGTTTATTTTTAAAACTAAATTGAGACAGCTCAAAGAAAATGTAACCTAATATCCGCATGCGGTGAAAATGCTGGCCATTTGCAAAGTTCGCTTCTGCACGGACATGGTGCCAAAAAGGACACAGACAATTCAGGGAACACGTACCAAGAAATCTCACAGTTCTCCGCACCAGTGGGTTTATGTAGCAACAGTCTCCGGTGAAAATAGTTTTCTCCTGGTTTTCAAAATCCCTTGTGGCCAGTTGCAGGCAAAACACAGCAGTCTCTCCAACTATTATCTTGCAAGACAATAAAAGGTTAAAGAACATTAGAATTGAACCAATGTAAAGGCAGGATATTTCATTTTTTTTAAAAAAGGGAGGTTCTTCAAGGGTAACAATCTCAGTGTTACACTGAACTACATTTGTTACCCAAACCCTGTTATTGTAACCTTACCCCCTGTATGTAATCCATGTTTCTCTCAATGCAAGGGAGTACGAAACTGGTAAGTTATGAATACAAGCGAACCATCACCCTTTCTTTTTGTAAAAGGCCCTTAAAAATGAAATCGACAAAGGGTTTCTGCTTTAAGGAAGCTCTCACTTGTCCTTGGGGTGTAACTGCACCCTCTGTTTTATTTTTAAGTGATTGTATCTTGCTTAAATTTGATTCTGCCATAGAAATCAGAACACTTTTCTAGAATAGCAGAAGCTAAGTTCAAGTTCAGAGCTACTCTGACAACAGCCTCTGCCTGGGAGCTTGTAAGCTTGAACCTGACTCTTCCAGGTCCAGCCAGGTGAGCCTCCGGTACCCCCTGGTCTTCACCACCTCCTGGCAGTCCTAGAGTTTTGAGGGGACGGTGTTGGGGCACAGAGCACACCCTAAGGACCTTTGCATCTCCTGGGGCCCCCAGGTCTTAGAAAACTGAGCGGGGACAAAGACCGCCCTGACGCTTGGGCGCACCCTCCAGCCTTCCTTCCTTCCAACAAAGACCGAAAGCTCCTCTCATCACCCTTTCTGATTCCGCGGCGTTTTCTCTCTGATCCTGGTTTCCATGAAATGTCTTCCTGTACCTCTGCAGACTCGGGTTCTCATGGGGCCTGGAAAGCCTGGTGACTTGGTCATTTTGGCCTCAGTATGAGGAAGAGGTTCTTAATCTGGAGTCACCAGACGCCACTGCCCTGGGAGTTGCAAAGCCGCCCTTGGAGGGGCACGTAGTGGGTTCGCTTCCTCCCCTGGGAGTGGGGCAGGCTGGCCGGAGGGGGGGGGGAAGCCGCAGCACAGAGCACAGGAGCCAGCCATGGGGAGGCCAAGGGCTCTGCACCTCGCAGTTTTCCTCGGTAAAATTCCCTGTCTTCTGCAAACTGATAAATAGAAGCCGTTTCCAGAGAGCTGAGGTGATGGCAGTGGTACCTGAACTTTCCTGAGGCGCCCCCCCCCCGCTCCCCCACCCCCAGTCCTGGCACAGTCTGCTGTCCACACGGTGGAGGGAGGTGTGGGAAGGACCCTGTGGCCAGCAGGGAGACGGGAGACTTAGCGGCTTCCTGCAGGAAGATGGGGAAGGGCGCTCCTCCCCACCACAGCAAGACTCTCCACTCCCGGGGCTTCAGAGAAAAAGTGGGGTGAAGGGAGATTCCACTAGGCGGGGGGAAGCGCAGGGCTGACCACGTTCTGTGCACATCCCAATCCCTTCGCCCGGGCTCACGAACCTTGCCCCAGCCTTGGGCTCTGCCGTGGGAGGAGGCCCTGCCGGCCCCGGTTCCACAGGAAGCCCTCACACCGCCCCTGAGGATGGCCGCTGTCTATCCAGTTTCCGTAACAAACCAGCGGTGTGGACAGCGGTGAGACACCCACCCCCCGAGATTGCCCCTGCCTGGCCTGAGCTGCGTAGGAGCAGCGGCGCTTCCTGGGGTCCCTGCTGCAACCAGACAGTCTTCGATCTTGGAGGCGAGAGCCCGGCTCCCGAAGCTCCGTCAGCCTGATAAGTGGAAGCCCCACGTTCCACAGCCCCCCAAACTGGGGCCCCTGTCCCCTACCACATGCCAGCTTCTCGCCGAGCCTCACCGCAGTATGTTCCACGGAACTCCGGGTTGACACTGTGAAGCCCCTCGAGCCCTCACTTGCTCACCAGGCTGGACCGCCCCCCCTTTCCCTTCCCAAATGCCCTCCAGCCTCCCTCCCATCTCTGAGGACAGGTGTGGCAGGCGGTCCCAAGTCTTATCCTGTCACTCCGTTTGGCAGTGAGCACAGGCCCCGTCCTAGCAGGTGGACACCCTGGGTCCCCGAGTGTAAATGTATCCAGTTGATCTCAGACCCCACGTCTCAGAGCCTGACCCTGCGGCCTCTATGTTCCTTCATGACAAAGTTACAAAGCACGTTTTCCCAGGAAGGGAAAATCACTGTGGACTTTCATCAAATGTCCACCCCAAAGAGCTTTGTTTTCTCTGATAGACACCCAATTCAACATTCCTCTCCCCGCCGGCTGGTGGTGACCCAGAGACACCCATGCATCCCTGATTTGACATGGGCCCGAGAAAACCACTTCAGACGGGCCGCCGTGGTGGACATCGCTGGCTGGGGGAAGCTCCGAGCCATACGAAGAGGCGAAACGTCACATTGGGTACAGTCTCCCTGGCTTTGCGCCACCATACAGAGAATGGAAGGCTGGCTGCTTCTGCGCATGGCTGGATTTCAGATAAGGAAAGGCAGCTTTGAGGCGGCAGCCCTGGGAGCACAGTATTGCTGTTGACATCCAGTGGCAGAGGAAGAAAATAAAGCGCAGATGATGTGGAGGGCCCAGGGGCGGGGAGAGAGTGAGGAACCCGTGTCTGAACCCGAGGCAGCCCACCTCTGGAACCCACGCTCTTGACCTTGCCCTGTGACTAGCAGAGATTAAGACTGTGGGGGTGTGGCAACCAGGGGGCCCCACGTGACCAGGAGAGGACAGTGTTAGTGAAGCAATGGCGTAAAAATGACAACCAGGCTACAAGGATATGAGGCTGAGAACTGGATTTGTTTCTCTGAGTGAAAGTCTGCAGAGTTGGAAAGATTCTTGTTAAACGAGGCTCGCAGGGGAGAAAAACCCCGTGAAACTGCCACACCAACTACTGGGTGGGGCAAGCTCACTGAATCATTTTTCAATCAGGAAGGGAGTGGGCCCATTTTTCAAAAAGATTTTATTTATTTGCAGAGAGATAGAGAGGAAGGGAGAGAGAAAGAGAGGGAGAGAAACATCAATGTGTGGTTGCCTCTTGAGCGCCCCCTACGGGGGACCTGGCCTGCCACCCAGGCATGTGCCCTGACTAGGAACTGAACTGGTGACCCTTTGGTTCACAGGCCGGTGCTCAATCCACTGAGCCACACGAGCCAGGGCTGTATGTCCAATTTGAAGGTGCTCTGCTGGCCACAGTTCTCAGATGTGGTCCCCAGACTGACAACCTCAGCAGCACCTGGGAGCTCGAAGGACATACAAATTCTTGGAGCTCGTTCCAGACCTACCAATGCACAAACCCTGGGCCTGGGGTCTATCCACCTGCGTCACTGAGCCCTCCCAGCTCTCTGCGGGATGTTTCCTGGAGTTCAGCACGGCTGACTCAAACGATTTAAATTTGTCAGGAATTTTTAAAAGAGGTTTCTGGACATTTATTTGAACAAATAATTATCGAATAATTGTACCATGCAAAGAGCTACCTAGGCACTGTAGTGAAGGGTGACAATACAGGAGAGGCTAAATAGAACCTAAAAATAAAAAGCAATCCAATACGCTCACTTTCCAGATGTTTTCTTTTTAATCTTCACTGGGGGATATTTTTAGTGATTTAGAGAGAGGAAGGGGGAGAGAAAGAGAGAGCGAGAAAGATCAGTGTGAGAAACATTGATGAGTTGCCTCCCTCCCACGTCCCTACTGGGGATTGAACCTGCACCTATTGGTATAGGGAATGGCACTCCAGTCAGCTGAGCCAGCTGGCCAAGGCTCCAGATGTTTGAAGTGAGACTTGGAGGAAAGAAGGGCCCTAATGAGCTACCTGATGCTTTGCACCTGGCAGCTCCCACCTGTCTTCAGACTCAGCATCCACTTCTCTTCTCACTGCAGCTGAGACGCAAGAGACCATGAGGGATACTTACAACGTCCTTGCCATCACTGCACAGATATTCCCAGTGAATGAATACAGAGGGCGTGAGATTAGGAGTGAGGGCTGACTGGGGACCAAGGATGCACGTGACCAAACACGGTGTTCCCTTCTGCCACTCTCGCAGAGGAGGATTGTCCCCTTCAGCCTGGACTCAGCAGGGTGGTTGGTCAGGGTTGACACTGCGCACCCTATGCCCAGTGAGCACAGGATGGAGCAGTACCACCTGGTGCATTTGCTCCAAGCCCTGGAGGGGGGCAAACTGAGAGGGTGACGTCTGGAACCTGGCGGAGAAGGTCGCATCTGGGCTTCACCTCTTACTAGCTGAGTGACCTTAGCTAAGACACGACTTCTCTCTGCCTCTGTGTCCTCGTCTATAAAGTAATGATATTAGAAGTGATGCCGTCATGGGCTGTTGTAGGGATTCAGGGCGTTGACTGTTCTTTGAGAGCAGTAGAGAGGAAGCACTGTGCACGTATTGGCCACTATTACATGGCCTCGAAGGGTCTGCCCATCTCAGATCTGCGATGGGTTAGTACTTGTGGTAAGGGAATCCGGGGTGCCTGGGATACGGTAGGAAGTAGTTTGTGGAGGGCGGGGACACAGAAAAAGGAAGTGTGGTCTGTCTCACAACAAAGCAGCTTTGCAAGCAACGGGCATTCTTTTCTCTTCTTTTAATAATGAGAAGGTTGTGGCAATGATTTTAAAACTTCTTTCCTAATGAAAATAAATGCTGCTCATTAAACTTTACATGACTGTTATCCTTCCCCCAGCCATTCACATAAATGCAGTGAGCCTAAGCTGCAAGAAAAATGGGTTGAAGAACACTGTAATACAAACTCATTTCGCCGGCTTGCAGGGTTTTAAAAAAATTTAATACGTAAGATCAAACGCTCCATGTTCATAAATCTCCTGTAGGGCAGAAATGTTATAATGTCCTCGTCATTCCTCAAGAGAGCTAACTCATAATTAATAAAAGCTTAATAATTAATAAAAGTATACAGGCTATTAGCTCACTTTCCAGCTCTTCTAAAATACATGTTCAAATTGATTTTTTTCTCCTGTTCTTTATCAACAATAATACAGCGGTTTGAGCCCTGGCCAGGTGGCTCAGTTGGCTGGAGCACCACCAACCAAAAGGTTATAGGTTTGAACCTCAGTCAGGGCAT